AGGTAGAGTTGAGAAAAGTGAATCGAGCGTATACAAGACTGAAGTATCGAAGCTTGAGACTGAGGACGTTAGATCGAGCAGTTCTGGTGTCTACGAACCGATCGATTCTAGTAAGAATAAGATTCATGGTCGTGGGAGATCTGAGAACCTCTATCATTTTTGATTTTGCATGTTTTGGTCTTTGATCTTTGTGAGTCTTAAATTTTGATCTCAAAACTTCTAAAATAGGCAGATTTTTCATCAAATTTTCCCCAAATTTTAAAATAAGATGAGGTTGCTTCCAAGATTTTTATGGTTCTTACTAAAAGTTATTATACCTTTGACCAACCATTGATAGAAAAATCAAACTAACAATAATGACATCCGGATAACTGATATACACTATTTAATCTATTAGAATTTAAATCTATAGTGATAATCTACTTTTGATCCAAAATCCAACTAACAATAATAATGTCCAGATAGTTATTTAAGTTTTTTTTTTTCTAACACTGGATAATTATGCATTACAAATTATGAGAAATATTACATACACAATATTACTGCCGACAATTCTACCTGCCTTATGCGGATTCACGTCTGACTGCATCACCTTGAACCGCCCTATGAGATCCATTCCTGACGGTACGACTTGCGCTATGATGAAGATCTCTTGTAAGTCTTTTCTCCAGTCTGCATAATTCGCCATTCACGACTTCTGGGAATTGAAACCCTCCAGGTATAGAAACTGCATAGCCTGGGATTTGAACCCTAGACCTGGTGTAGAAGCCTTTAAACCTTAACCACTATGTTACGGTGCTTCCACAATAATTACTTAAGCTAGCCACTAGATTTTGATCCACGCTTGAGAAACGCGGATTTTGTTTCGGTTGTAACAAAATGTATAAAATGATCCGATTTCTATTATATGATAGATTTATATGCGAAATTTGATGTATATTTAACGTTTTAGTAGGGTCTTTTCATTTAGTTTGCATAACAGAGTTAGTTTATGGTTGAACAGAGAATCAGAAAATTAAGTGTTGTGAGAGTTTGAAGAATTAAAACACATATTAGATTAAAACCAAAATTGGATGGGTCCATGACTTATAATAAACTTGAAAAAATCAATACTATTAAAAATACCCAAAATTGTATTACAAATTTGAGTTAAATCCAATAAATATATTAATCGAATTATATAGTTTATTTATGTTTCGGTAATTTTGTTTTGACCCGCGCTTGAGAAATTTATAACAGGTAGGGAGACTAACTTTATACTATTTACCATAAAAAAAAAATTTATGGTTTCCACGAGACTAAACTCCAACTTTTTCTTTTGTTTCCCACCACACCCTATGGTTTCCAGGTCACCCAAGTCTTGAACTTGTCCAATAACATCTAGATAAAAATATACTAGTGTTAGATAGATACACAACAATGGAGATAATTTATAAAATGGGAGAAAACTGACCAATAAGAAAATTATTAACATATATGATTCAAAATAATATAGTTTTAAAAATAGAAGAATTGTTCCATAAATATAGGGAAGAATATTATCATTTAGGTTTTGACCCGCGCTTAGAAAACATTATCATTTAGGTTACACTTTTACAGAATGAAGATATCTAAATCATAAATCTATACAAAACGATAAACTTACATTTGCATAACAAATGATTAGTTCCATGGTCTTCCATATGTCTTTCATGAAATGTCTTCATGTATGAAAGATTTTGACTTGGATGCGACATGTAGTCTTCCTCGGTTTTATATCACGACAACTGCAAATTATTCGCCATTTTTGTTTTAAGTTTTTCAATGAATGATGAATATAATGGTTAAAAGAGACTATATTTATAATAGGTAGGGATGATATACATTTAGGTTACGCAAATGTAGGAACGAATATTTAGACGATTTTAAAAAATATCTCTTTCGAGAAATAAGGAATATTTCTTGAAGATATTTTGAATTATTTAAGAAGTTTAAAGTTTAACAGTTAATGGTAATACAACTACAGTAAGTTACCGAAATTTATGGAATCCAAACAAAGAATAACTAACCACAGTATTGATTGTGGTTAATTTATAAACTTGTAGATCAAGCAATTCATTTATTTTAGTACGAAGATAATTATAGAAAATAGTTTTTTGCAATATTTTCTTAAGAAAACGTATCTCATCCATTAAATGTCACCATGAGAATGATGATATATCGACATATGAAGAAAAGTTAATACGAAAATATTTAAAATTATCTTGCATATAACAAATTTAGTTATTATTCAATAACAATCTTAATATATTATTTAAATATTTTCAAAATCAGATATCAAAGATATTACCAAGATATTTTCTAATATTGCATTTTGACAATATCTTTTAATATATTTCTCAGTAAAATATAAATATTTATTGTTTTAATATTTATTTTAATAATAGAATGTACTTTTAAGTATTATTACAATTAATTTTAATTCATTTGGATTTCTTAAATAAGAAATACCATTACTATAATATTTATAAATACATTATTCATATTCATAATTAAATTACTACAATAAATAATATATATAATAACTTAATTCAAATTATTTTATAAAATATAAATTAAAAGAATTACATATTGATGACAACAAATATTCATAGAGTTTACAACATACTTCAATTTATTAATGCAAAATATTAAATATATATTAAAAGAATAAAAAATTATATTTACTATAATATCTAAATTACTATATTAAAATATAATTTAGTATATTTTTATTTGATAAAAACAATATTATTTTTTCTTGAGTTTATTATACAGTATATTGAATTATATATTATGATTTAAAATTACAATTTATTAAAATTTATTTTATAAATATGTAAACATTTATAAGTATGAGAGCATCTGAACTCCATATTATTAATTTATATTATAATAATATAAATTATGTAGTCAATATATAGATTAAAACCGTAATATAAAGTTTATAAGATAATATAAATGTATGAAATATGGTTAGAGTAATTAATGGGAAGAGAGAGAATAAATCGGATATATTTAATATGTGATATGATTTATAACAATTGATATATATATAGATCTAAGACCAAAACCAAATTACCAAAATGTTATTAATGAAGGGTGCACACAACTTCCATCAGTCGATTTTTCAAGGGTGCCTTCACTTTTAATTGTATAGATTCACTAACATAATAACTATCTAATATGTAAAATATTAAGATGAATTAGAATATAATCATGCTAACTTACGAAGGATATAAAATAATTACATTATAACCATGCTTGTTTACATATCAACTATATGAATTGTATTTAATTTAATATCTTAAAAAATAAAAAAAGTGAACACAAAAACATATATTATTAGTCGGCTAAACTAATTTATAGACTAGAAACATATCTATTAGTAGTCTAAACTAATTTATCACTATTATTTTTGACATCTTTAATTGCAAGATGTTGATATTCACGAAAACAAAACTAAGGAAAACGACAAAATAATTTTCCATGCAAATCACTCTAGTTTTTTTTTGAAAGATAGCATAATTTACTCATGCATGGTTGTAAAGAATAAGCAGAGGAAGACAAAAAAAAACAGATTTAAACATAACAAAATTTAATAATAAATAAAAGGGTTTATAAATATTTTCCAAATTTACTGAAGATAGTTTATAGATTTTTGTTCAAACATACAATTATAAGAGATTAAAGTTGCCTAAGCAATAAGTATATATATTTAGGATCACATTGGGTCAAGTATACAAGATTTTGAGGCAAATGCTTTATCTTAGTCTCGGGTTCGATCAAGTACTTGCTCTTACATCTATCATGTTATCTGAAAGATGCTTGGCTAATGAGTAAACTAGATGTTTCTTTTTACAAAAAAATGTACCACTAAATATTTGTTACATTTTAAATTTTTATTCGATGTTGTTTCTGAAAGACAAAAATAAGGAAAAAAATAGTGAAAATGGTAAAGTAGCAAAAGAGTTGACTCTAATCTCCATCTGATGCTCTATTTGATGGGGTATTTTTATTTTTACCTTCCATTTAGTATCATTATTCATGTTTATCTTCTCTAAATAGACATTTTCAAAAATACTTCATTAACGAGGTAAAAGATATATCCTTGATTTATAAATATAAATACAAAATATTTTTATAAAAGTTTTCGAAGTGTAACGTTTCAATTTCAAAATTTTATATTTTTCTAATTTTTTAACAAAATTTTCAGATTTAAATTTTAAAATTTGAATATAATTTTTGAAACTATTATAAAATTATTTTTATTTTAAATTTTTTATTTTTTTCACAACTCAAAACTTCAAAGTTCAAATTTGAAATTTTATCACATTTATAATTTTAAAATATTTTTTTTATTTTATTTCTCTTATTTTATATCTTATAAATATTTCAAATTTAATTTTATAAATTTAAGTTTTACAGATAAAACTAAAAAATAAAATAATATTTTTAATATTTTTAAATTAGAGTTAAATAACAAGAATAGTACAAAAACTTAATAAAAACTTTTAAAAAGGTACATGAATACATAATTGTTTCAGAAATTAATTTTTAAAGTGTAGTTTAATATTTGATTTTTTATTTATTTATAGTTTTGTATTTAATGTAAAAATTTATTAATTAATATTGATGTAATATTTTTATATCTGTGTTATTTATTTATAAATGTTTATAAATTTACATTATTTGTGAAAAGTAGAAAAATTATATTATAAAATATAAATAATTTAAAGTTACTTTAAAAATTTTGTTTGTGGAAAAGAAGACTTAAAAACTTTAAATTTAAATATAAAGTTTTGCGAACTTAAAATAGAGAGTTTTTTGAGCTGTTCTAAGGCCCATAATTAAGCTGTGCTGAAAACCGGTTAAAATAAGATACCTCTAATCTCTATCCGGTTTTCTAATCTGACCACGGTTTAGGTTACTCTGTTATTTCGCCAGATCTATTTTTCTTTTTCTTTAGAACCAAAATAGCTATTGATTGCTTGCCCCTAGCGATTTCTTCTCCGTCGATCTTCTTCTTCACCTCACACTCCGGTGTCTCTAAGTCGATCAACCGCGCCTTCAGGTACTCTCCCTCTTCCCTGAGATGTTTCTGCAAATTTCGTTCTTCTCTCTCCCGATTTCCTGGACTTTCTCGGCAAATCTAATTTAGGGTTCTGTCCGAATCTGTGATTGGTTCCTCAGCGTTATCGATCTACGTTTGATCTGTTCTGTATCGTGACTCTGCCCTCCTGATCCGTCTAATTGAATCCCATTTCTACAATGGATCCAATTCCATTCATTCTGCTTTGGATTAGATATCTTAGCTTAGATCTTCATGTCTGAATCTAGCCGATCTGCGGCTAGAGTTTCGATATTAGGCTTCATTTGTTAATTTATTTTCTGGTTGATTTTTAGTTGAGGTTGAAATTGATCTCTGTAAATTGACTGTTACAATACAATCAGTCTCTGACTGAAACTTCGTGCTATTTCATAAATCATATTATATGATTTGCTTGATATTGTGATTACATGTGATACGCTCTTCTTTCAAGTTTATACATTGTTTACTTATAGGAAGCAGAGAAAGTCATTTGGGAAAACATGCCGGGTCAGAAGATTGAAACAGGTCATGAGGACATGGTCCATGATGTGCAAATGGATTACTACGGAAAGAAAATTGCAACTGCCTCATCTGACTGCACCATCAAGATAACCGGCGTCAGCAACAACGGTGGATCTCAGCACCTTGCTACACTAACCGGCCACCGTGGTCCTGTCTGGCAGGTCGCATGGGCCCACCCTAAGTTCGGATCCTTCCTTGCTTCATGCTCCTATGATGGTCAAGTCATACTCTGGAAGGAAGGCAGCCAAAACCAATGGACCCAAGCTCATGTCTTCACCGACCACAAATCTTCAGTCAACTCCATTGCTTGGGCTCCTCATGACCTCGGACTATCCTTGGCTTGCGGGTCGTCCGATGGAAACATTTCTGTATTCACAGGCCGTGCTGATGGTGGCTGGGACACAACGAAGATCGACCAAGCACATCCAGTTGGAGTCACTTCAGTCTCATGGGCACCAGCCACTGCACCCGGTGCTCTTGTCAGCTCGGGCTTGCTAGATCCGGTTTACAAGCTAGCTTCTGGTGGGTGTGATAATACAGTGAAAGTGTGGAAGCTCTCAAACGGGTCGTGGAAGATGGATTGCTTTCCAGCTCTTCAAAAGCACACTGATTGGGTCCGTGATGTGGCTTGGGCACCGAATTTAGGTCTCCCTAAGTCTACCATAGCTAGTGGTTCACAGGATGGGAAGGTGATCATATGGACAGTGGGGAAAGAAGGCGAGCAATGGGAAGGTAAGGTTCTGAAGGACTTTATGACTCCGGTGTGGCGGGTGTCGTGGTCTTTGACAGGTAACATGTTGGCTGTGTCCGATGGGAACAACAACGTGACCGTGTGGAAAGAGGCTGTTGATGGAGAGTGGGAACAAGTCACCGTTCTGGAGTGATGTTTCGCTATTTCGTTTACTGAATTAAAGACTTTAAGAAACTTTTTCTCAGGCTGGTTTGTTGGTCTATCTGAGGGAATGTGGATGTGGTTTTCTTAATTTTGGTTTGGAACGTTTTGACATTTTCATCTTTTCTAGCGAATTTTTCTTCTGTTTTTCCCTTTTACAAACACGATCTTCATTAGAACATATTATATCTTAGTTTTACTTAAATCATTAGACATATAATATCATTGTTGTGTCATATTTGATTTAGCATACTGGTTTGTGTTTATATCTTCGATGTGTCTCTCAAACTGGATTCGATTAGGAATAACAACGTGAGGCTGTTGATGAAGAGTGGGAGCAAGTCACCGTTCTGGAACCGTAGGCTTTTGATGTTTCGCTATTTCCTTCCTTACTGAATTGAAGTGTTCTGGGGAACATGGATGTGGTTTTTTACAATTTTGGTTCGAAGCATTTTGGACCTAATCTTTACAAGCGACTTTTTCTTTTGTTTTTACTTTTGGAAAAATTGTTTATTTTAGGCAAAAGAATGATAACATTGTTCTTTTAGGTTAATTTCTTTTTTATTCTATTTTTTTTCTATAATGTCCTTTACTACTTTCGAAAATAAATAGTTTTAGAAACAAAAAAAAAAAAAATAACTAGTTATGAAACACCTATATCAATCTAGTGGTGTTTTTTCAAGTTCTAAAAATTTATAAATCCTTTTTCAAATTATGTTCTACATAAACTAGAAGTGGCTTTCTACAAAGTAGAAAATGAAATCCATTTTTTTCATTGAATCTACTATGTCTAGAATACACATTCCGAGAGAGGGTGTTATTGGTTAATGTATTTTGACTGATTTAGAAATCTGTATAGCATTTATAAATCTTAGTAAAATATACTGATTTCCAAATCTAATATGTGAATTTTAATAAGTACTTACAAATCCGAGGGTTTTCCTTCGGATTTTAGTCCTTGTATTTTTAACAAAGAAATCCACACAAATCCACCCAAATTCATTATAAAATCAAATCCATTAATGAATCCGTATGATTGAATAACACCTGATTTGAATTAGAATTTATAAATCATGGAACCAATAACACTTGATTTTAATTTGGATTTTAAAATCATGAAACCAATAACACTGAATTTGTTTAGATTTATAAATCCATTAAAATACATAAACTAATAACACCCACTAAACTATCCTTCTAAAATCAGTAGAAATCGGATTCTACACATTACTATAAAATCTAAAATAAGTAGAAATTAGAATCTACACATTATTATAAATCTAAAACATGTAGAATCTGATTTCAAACATCTTATATATTAAAACAGAAGTCATGACTTAACTTCATATGTGATTTTTTTAAAAATGATTATTACTAGAAAATCATGTTACATTAACTCTCTAATAATCTTATCATTATTATATCTTATGAAAAATCATATCTATAATAACAAAGATACGCTTAAAAATTTGGTTTTGGTGAATTACCCCAAACCTTCTAACTTAGTCACGCAAAATATGTCAATAGATATAAGTTTAGGAATCTTCTATTATTTATAAGGAAATATGTCAATAATAGTTAAATGCATCCACAATATATTAACAAAAATCACAAATTCGTAATATGGAATATTTATATACCCTAACAAAATTTACACGCTATATATACTAGATAAATTTATTTTGATGTAAATTTTTAAAATTATATTGATTTAAAAAAGAATTTGTTTAAAAAATTCTTTTTAATAAAATTCTTTATAATATTAAATTATGAAGCTATAAGTTTATTTTTTAGCAAAAATTTCTTCGAATTTTATATTATCTTTGCAAATTAAAGTATACTAATATTTAATCAAGCTCTATTTATATTATTTTATCTAGAAATGAAATACTAATCTAACAAACAATAAAAAATAGAAGAAGAAATAAACACATGTTTGAAAAACATGTATAATATAGAAAATTCAAAACAATCTATTTGATTAAAACATGTATTATATAATATTATTATGTTTGAGAAACATTTACTATACATATCATAAATATGTGATTACTATAATATATATCAAATTACAAGTGAAAACAAAATGTTTATATAACTAACTATAAACGAAAACAAACACCCGCGCGGTTGCGCGGGTCAAAATCTAGTTATTATTGTATTCTACATATAGTAATATACATTCTACGGATAAGAATATTTTGTTCCGAAAATATAGGAAAAAATATTTGTAAATATTCAATTTATAAATAAAATCGATTTTTGATTAATCTACTCTATTAAAATAGAGTCATTCTTTTTATCTACTGATACAAGTTGTCATTTAAATTTGGACTCTTTCTTGAGTGTTACAAATAATACAAATCATATAATTAATTGAACCGCATTACTTAAATTAAACCGATGGTTATTTATGAGATATAGTCTTGGGTTTACTTTTCTTTTTAGAACAAATTATATGATTTGGTTTTTGGGCTTAGTATTAAGGAAAAACTCCAAAAAACATTAAGTAAATTTTCCACCTTAATGGATCAAAAAAATCAGTTATTAGTTTCAGGCCCAAAAAATATTTAATATTTTTAAACAAAACAAAATTGTCTATTATTAATTATTTATTTAAATCATATACTTTAAAAAAATTTAATATATTTTTATTTTATTTTAAAGAACAATCACTTTGTTTTGATAAATTTCAGTGGTAACTTTTAAATAATTTATTCTTTTATTTTTCTTAAATAATTTACTAATTTTTTTTTAAAAAATGTAAAGTAAAACCAAAAACCAAATCTAAAAACTAAAATCCAAAACCAAAAACTTTTAAAAAAAACAGGTTATATTTTTCTGCTTTTATTTATTTACAAAATAAACTATAGCAATTTTTTTTTTTAAAAATTTTGTCATCTTTTCAGTTTTAAATTAGATGTTCGATTATTTTAGATTTGTTTGTTAGTAATATCAGTTCAAACTAATCAGCGGGTCTAAAAATTAAAAACTCGCTGAAAATCAAAAATAGAAACTTAAAAACTAAAAACCAAAAACCAAAATCTAAAACAAAATCTAAAAATAAAAACTGAAACTCAAAACTAATGAATAACAATCATCACCACAAATTTTAGGTGAACTGATTTTATCCCAAAACATTCTTTAAATTAAGACAAACTCAATTACATAAATTTTTAATCATAAAAAATTTTCGCGCTTTCAAACGCGGGTCAAAATCTAATTCTTTTTTTTTTTAAAAAGCGATTTTTTCCACTAACTATATTTTTTCACGTGCCAATGCAATAATCCACTGATTCATCAATGACTGCCTTCACCTTCACGTAACAACCGAAATTAATCCAGTGAGCCATCATTGAAGTATGCAACTCTTTTATTTTAGACTACACAATCATATGTTAGTATCGAAAACTATATATAGAGAAATTATTTGACCAAAAAGTATATATAGATTTCATTACTCCTTGAAAGTAGGAAGTAATAATAATCTGAATAAGAACATAATAAAGGAAATGGATTCGATTAGGAGTTGGGGGTTGTACGTATGTGTATGCATGTCCGATATGGGTATATAGCACATTAGTAAAGTTTGAACTTGATCTTTTGTTTTCCAAACCACATTATACCCTATCTGGTGTGAACGAAATCAGAGGAAGTTGGGGATTTTAATTTTGTATTTTTTTAATAATTTTTAATTGAATTTAAGGGTATTATTGTCATTTAAAAAATATTTAACTTAATGGGACATAAAGTAATAGAAATTAGCCTAAAAGAACAATGTTACCATTTTTTTGACCTAAAAAAACAATTTCTCCTACCCGGACTCGATAGTTGAATGGTACCTGCCCCTTAACCTTGGGAGGTCAACTGTTCAATTTGCAGGCGGGGAGGCGTGTCCAGGGCCTTAACCGATACAGACGCAGGCTGGCGACGTGCACTAGGTGGTGGGTTGGCCGAAGGTTGGTCAACACCTGGTTAATCAAAAAAAACAAAAAAAAATTTCTCCTTTACTTTTCCCGTTTAAAAACCAGATCTTCATTAGATATTATTCTCTTAGTTCTAAACTGGAGTACCCGAATCTTTTTATACATATTGTTGTTTGTGTCAAATTTGACATTAGCATACTATTTTGTATTCTTATCGTCGATGTCTCTTACTCGGGTTTGGTTGAGAAATGAGCCTATTTCAATCTAAACTTTATCACTCATGCCTTTTCCTTCCCGAACTTTATAATAGTGCGTATTTCATATTGAACTAAATAAAAATTTAAAAATACTACATGAACTTTACTCACCTTACTTTTTCATCCCAAAACTTTATAGTAGTTCATATTCCACACTATACTAACTAAAAGTATAAAAATACTCTATGAACTCTTAAGATAGTGCTTATATATAAACCGCCAAATTTGTTAGTCATCCGTAAATCTATCAAAAAGACGTCATTTTTGATCAGTTTTTATAAAATTAAAATTTTAAAAATATTACACAAACTTGTAAAATCATGCTTATATATATATTAATCATCAAAGATGTTACCCATCCGTTAATTTATCAAAACGATACCATTTTTATAAACTCCGTAAAATTAGTTTAAAAATAGTATGCAAACTCTTAAAATTGTGCTTCTATATATATTGATCATCAAAGATTTTAGTTATTTGTTAATCTATCAAAACGACGTTAATTAGGATAAATTATAAAACTAAGAAGTTATGGAATGTTCGAATTCTCACACTAATAGACAAGTATAAAGTGAATATTTAAATTAATAATAATTAGACTAAGTTTATAAAATAATTATTTGTAAATTTAAATTTTAAACATAAATAATTATAGATTTATTTGATAAATTTATATCAATAAAAATTTGATAACATGTATTTGATTGAAAATTATATAAGTTAATGTTTACACAATTTATACAAGAAGGTTATTTTGGTCTAGCAGTTATTATGCTCTTATTTGTCCACTAGTGTGAAAGTTTGAACCTCCTAAAAATGTAATTTTTAATTTTACCTAATTTATCCAAAATGATGTAGTTTTGATAAATTAACTGATGGATAACATCTATGATAATTAATATATATAAGCATGATTTCGCAAGTTTAATTTTTTAATTTTATTAAACTGATCTAAAATGGCGTCCTTTGGATAGATTTACGGATGACTAACAAATTTGACCGTTTATATATAAACACGATT